TCTTTGCTATCTCAGGCAGAGAAAAAAAATCAATATTATTTTACAGCAATACGGTTCTGGTATACATCAGTATTATTCAGCCATATCTATAGTGGCATATAACATATCATGCAATGATGTGTAATCAAAATGCAGTTTGCTTTAAAGTACCTGAAATTATTCCTCAGTGTTACAATGCTATGTAAACCCTAAAGTTTTTTTTTACTTGATTGTGTCAATATATATTCTCTCTTTTTTTAAACCATAGGCTGTAAAAACTTTCAATCCATTCTATAGAGAAAAATATATTTTTATAGTGATAACTGGTGGTACTAGTTACTGCATTTATCTACGGTTCTAGCGGATAAAGGTTATGAATAAGTGCTTTTGCCTGTGTCTGGAGAGCATGGTGTGAAAAGAAAAATGTGTTGCTCGAGGGTAGACATTCTGTCCCTTCAGATATCACAAGGCCCCCATTTGTAGAAAAGCATTTACAAACTCACTATAACCTGAAACGTTAATCTGTAGTGTGAAGCAGGGGGCGGACTGACCATTTGGAAACTCAGGCACTGCCCGAGGGCCTGGGGTCAGTAGGGGGCCCCATGAGATGCCCCTGGTACCTTTTTCATAGGCTTTTTTGAGTTTGGGCAAGGACACAGGGGCCCCATGAGTTGTCAGTCCGCCCCTGGTGTGAAGTCTGCTATTGCTGATCTTCTAAATGATGTTAATGCCTGGCTAGGTCTAACTTTTATAAATCTTGAGATCCAGAAATGGACCAGGTATGCAGCAGGTAAAATCAGAGTGAAGTCAAAATTACTAATCTGCATACTTCGTACAAGTCAGTGCTTACTAAAAGGCAAATAGACTGTTCAAACTGCAGGGAAGTTGAATTTTACAACTGAAATTTCCCCAGAGATTAGCCATGAGACGAGGTTCTGATGATCTCCTTCATCCACTCATGTACAGTTTTTTTTTTTTCTATATGTGATTGGGTATTCCTTGCAAAGTAAAACTTTTCTTGCAGAGTCCAGCTTCACTTGCAAAGTGAACAGTACATTTGACTTAAAGTGTTGAAGGCATCAGATCAGCATTACAGCCAAGTAACTAGAGGTCAGTAAAGGACAGGTACCAATGTCTTACTTTTAGGTGAATGTGTTGCTAAAACCAAATTTCCCCAAATGATGACCCTGCAAAGAAGAAAATAAATTCTTACCTCTCTCTCTGCCTGAACTGCTAAATGCCAATTCAGATGACTTAAAACTAGCCTTCTGTGAATGCAATCTCTTGGTCCTTGGCTGCACTTAGAGGTTTCTCTCACAAACCCCTATACAGTATATCTACATAGTGGGGTAGATTTACTAAAACCGTGCACTTAGAATCTGGTGCAGCTGTGCATGGTAGCCAATCAGCTTCTATCTTCAGCTTGTTCAATTATGATTTGTCAATAAAACCTGGAAGCTGATTGGTTTTCATGCAGAGTTGAACCAGATTTTTCACTTTCAAGCTTTAGTAAATAACCTCCAATGTGCACTGGAAGGAATTCTTGAGTGCAGTGGAGAACCAATAGACCAACACTCCCTGAAATGTCAGGTTGGGAAGAGAGTTTAGAGAACATTTTCTCTGCATGATAGTTGAGTTCAAGGGTGGGGTTCAAGAGTAGAGTATTTAACCACTTGACCTCTGGAAAGTTTTACCCCCTAATGGCTAGAGCATTCTTTGCTATTTATCACTGTGCTACTTTAACTGGCAATTGCACGGTCATGTATCACTGTATGCAAATGACATTTATATAATTTTATTATATAAAAAAAAAAAAAGACTGAACCCCCCCCAATATTTTCTACGTTCTGTTATAAAAACATATCCAATAAAAACATTAAAAAAAAACTAATCTATTCATAAATTACGGCCAAAATGCATTCTGCTACGTTTTTTAGTAAAAAAAAATCCTAATAAGTGCATATTATTTGGTTTGTGTAAAAGTTATAGTGTCTACATATGATGGTGTATACAATATGATGGTGTATACTGGAACCTATGCAGCTATGTCGCTCTGCTGGTAATGGTGGTGATCAGTGACTTATAGTGGGATTGTGATAGTATGGAGGGCAAGCTGGCGCTAGCTGATGCTGACAGGAAGGGACACTAACTGACTAACTGACACTGACATCAATAGTGACACTAATACATCGGTGCTAATACTGTACACTGACACTGTACTAATGACACTGACTGGGAAGGGGTTAACATCTAGGGGCAATCAAGGGGTTAATTGTGTGACTAATAATGTGTAATGTTTGTAATATGTGCTGCTTTTACTTTTCTATCAGGCTATTTTTTTTTTTCTTGCTTTGCATTGGCTGAAATCAGCTGCCAAACTCATGCTGTGTTCAGTCACAGCATGGGTTGACAGGTGGCTCACATGCATGTGTCCCAAACCCATAAGAAGGCAGATCACATACATGTATGTAAAGATTAAAGTGGAAGAAAAGTCAATACCTAATTATGCTTAAATCTACCTCCATTCTCATTCTAGTCCTAATCTATCTTTCATGAAAAAGGAAAGATGTCAATACTTACCTATTCCGAAGTCACTCTGGTCTGGTCACATGACTCGCTTCCAAAGCCACCTTCAGTGTAGAGGAGGGACAGCTGATGGATACCCTATAGTAAGGCCGGCCATACATTATACCATTTTCTTGAGATTTTTGCTTTAGATTTACCAAAAACTATAAAAAATGAACACATAAACAACACTTTCAATTGTATCCAATTAGGCAGGCCCTTACACTACATAGTTGAAGGTAAATCTAAAGGTAATTGGGCAGAAATTGTACAGAAAATTGTATGAAAATTGTATAGTGTATGGCCAGCCTAAGCCTTTGGGTGTTGTCATCTCTCAGACTATGCAGCTGCTGTTGATGATCTTTCCCCTAAACTGAAGCCAGCACTGGAGAGATCATGTGACCAGACCACAGTGAATTCAGAATAGGTATAGGTAAGTATGGACATGTTACCTTTTACAGAGTAGGTAGAATAAGCTTAGAATGGGGGTGGGAGTAGATTAAAGCTTAGTTAGGTTTTTGCTTGCCTTCCACTTTAACTTTGAACCAGCAATCCAAATGATCTACGTCCTGACTATATGTGAAGTCATCATTATGAGTGATAATTCCAACTACCAGGGGCGGACTGACCATTAGAAATCTTGGGCACTGCCCGAGGGCCCGGGGTCAGTAGGGGGCCCCATGAGATGCCCCTGGTACCTTTTTCATAGGCTTTTTGGAGTTTGGGCAAGGACACAGGGGCCCCATGATCCCCTATTGCCCAGGGGCCCCATGAGTTGTCAGTCCACCCCTGCCTACTACTGCCCTATTACCTGCAAACTTCACAATATAATTGCTCAGCTGAGCAATCGTAGGTCAGCAGAGTGCAGAGTGTAGACTAGGAGACTGAAGATTCATCCATGAGGGGAACAAGGAATCAGACTGGGGCCTATTTGTTAAAATGTCCAGTATCCAGTTGCACAAAACCAAGCTTATCCCTAGTAATGTCAGTTAATCTAATAGTAGTATTAAAGGCAGAATTAAATCTAAAAAAAAAGCAAAACAAAAATCCTCAAGCTTAGCGCACATGTCACAATCTGATTGTTCAATCTCCTTGAGGTCTGCCAATGACCATGCAGTGTAAATGTTTGCCGCATTGGATACAAATAAACTGGATAGATTAGGTTGGTTTTCATATTGCATAGATTTGATAGAATTTAAAGCTGATTATACAAAGAGTGTACAGCCAGATTGTGACATGTATGATGACCCTTATTCTCCGAGTAAGAGCCAGGTGAACTACTGATGAGATAACATCTGCAGTGGATCGGTTTTGTCTGTATGCATATTGATGGCGGTCTACTCAGAAGTTAATGGTCTTCTTTATATATGCCATCAGCAGGCTTTTGAAATACTTCATAATTTCTAGGGTTAGTGCTATTGAGCAATAGTCATTCAGACATAACATTGTCTTGGTCTTTGGGACAGGAACAATTGTAGTAGTTTTAGTTTTAGAGGCACGTAGGGACAGTACAGTTACCACATGGTCCTTGAATCATTGGTTGGAAAGTGACTCTAAAATTTAGAACATAGTTAGCCTTGGCCCTTCTTATACAGTTAATGAGGCTGCTTCTGAGTTCAAATGCATTACCAGACTTGAATAAAGAATCATGACTTTTAGTAGAGATTGAGCCTCTGCATTCATCCAGGGTTTACCATTGGGGTAAATAGTTTTAGTTGTAATAACATCCTCCACACACTTGATGATATAGCCTGTAACAGATGATGTATATTCCTCCAGATCTACACCTTTGCCACTTGTCACTGCCTCTTTAACCACTAGCCTACAGGGCACTTATACCCCCTTCCTGCCCAGGTCAGTTTTCAGCTTTCAGCGCTGTCGCATTTTGAATGACAATTGCGTGGTCATGCAACACTGTACCCATAAGAACTTTTTATCATTTTTTTGAGACAGATAGAGCTTTCTTTTGGTAGTATTTAATCACCTCTGGGTTTTTTATTTTTTGCTAAACAAACCAAAAACCACTGAAAATTTTGAAAAAAAAAAGTTTTTTTCTTAGTTTTTGTTATAAAAGTTTGTAAATAAGTGATTTTTCTCCTTCACTGATATGCACAATGAGGCTGCAGTGATGGGCACTGATAGGTGGCATTGATGGACACTGATGAGGAGGCACTAGTAGGTGGCACTTGTGGGCATTGACAGGCATCACTGATGGGCACTGAGAGGTAGCACTCATATATGGCACTGATAGGTGGCACTGATAGGCGGCACTGAGTGGCACTGATAGGTGGCACTGACTGGCACTGTAAGGTGGCACTGACTGGCACTGTTAGGCGGCACTGATGGCAGCATTGATAGGTGGCACTGATTGGCAGCACTGATAGGCGGCACTGACTGGCACTGATAGGCGGCACTAATTTGGCAGCACTGATAGGTGGCACTGATTGGCATTGATAGGTGGCACTGACTGGCACTGATAGGTGACACTGAAAGGCAGCTCAGATGGGCACTGATATGTGCAAGTGATGTGCACTGGTAGGCACTGATATGTGCCATTGATGTGGCACTGATGGGCACTGGCAGGTGGCATTGATGGACTCTGACAGGTGGCATTGATGGGCACTGACAGGTGGCACTTCTGGGACCACGCTGATCATCAGGACACACTGATCATCAGTGCCCTGATGATCAGTGCATATGTCCTCTCCGAGGAATGCTGATTACCGCTCTCCTCTTCTCTCGAGCTGTCAAACTGACAGCTCGTGAGGAGAGAAATGCCGATAACTGGCATTTCCCTATGTATATGTGATCAGCTGTGATTGGACACAGCTGATCACATGACCAAACCAACATCTTCGGCTCTTTCTGTCAATCGTTGCACCACGGGCCCCCGGAGCCTCGCATGCACTGTTAGAGCGGGACAACGTCATATGATGTCCTCCCAGAATGAGAGAATTGCTTTGCACCCATCATTACACTATACGGCGGACGGGAGGTGGTTAAAGATCTGCCATTAGTGCATTCAAAACAGTCATATAGCATTAAGGCTGACTTTTAGCAAGTGGAAGTGGGCAAGGATCAACACAATGGAGATATAAGGAAGCTGGGGTTTCATGAGGTTTAGCAAAGCCAGAACTTCAGAAGGCACCTGTTACTGAATGGGTTCCTTTCTCATCCAAGGGTGTGCTCCTGATTGTTAGAGGAGATGTGGTGGTGGGAGTTGTATTCCGAACAAGGTGTGAACCACAGTTGAAATCCATAAAGTTGATCTTCCGTTTCCGCATTGGGACCAAAAGCGCAGTTAGACCAAACATAGTATTATGCATCTTAACGAAGTTTATTGGACTTTTTCATTTAATATTTCTATTCAATATTTTAATTTATGTTTTTCACTTAATTTTGTAGTGTACAATGGAAATGTAGTTGGAAAGGTCGAGGCAGATACGAAGGGCACCTTGTTCACTCCTTGGGTGGCAATAGTTAAATGATTATGAAACTTTGGTAGAAAGTCCAACAAGCTGACATGAAAATCCCCAGCAATCACATAAAGAGCCTCTGGTTGCCTACTTTGAAATGAGCAGATGTTGTCATGAAGTTCCTTTAGTGCATAATTAGCCCTAACACTTGGGGGATAGACAGCAACAATGAGCACTATTTTAAAATCTTGTAGCAACTGTATTGCATGATATCGAGCCTCCCCAGTACCCAGCTTCCATCCTGGGGGCAGTGTTATATACCCTCTGTTTTGTCTGTGTGTATGATCCAGAATTGAAGCGCACCACTGTGGTATCATTCCCTACTTATATAAGGATATTTGTTTTCCACAACTTTCTGCTGAAGCAAGTCGCAGGGCCTGAAAAACACATTGAAGAACCAGACCTACATTCCCTAAGGCAGTTTTTTTATTAATTATCCGAACAGGGTTGTATGTAACTCTGAGGGGAAGCTCTGAAACGAAGGTAAGCTCTGCTGATTTCTATCATCTGGTCATTTGCAAGCAAAAATGCTGTTTTTATTTTCATTGCATGTGATTGGGTATTCTTTGGAAAATTAAGCTTTACCTCATTTACCATGATCTGGAGCAACTGCACTTGCAGTGCACAGTATATTTGCCTTTAGTAAATCAACCCCTATGTGTCAATGGTTGGTAACATGATCATGCAAGGTAGTTGTATGTATGGCTAGACAAAGAAATGTTGTCAGCAGGGGCGGACTGACAACTCATGGGGCCCCTGGGCAATAGGGGATCATGGGGCCCCTTTGTCCTTGCCCAAACTCAAAAAAGCCTATGAAAAAGGTACCAGGGGCATCTCATGGGGCCCCCTACTGACCCCGGGCCCTCAGGCAGTGCCCGAGTTTCCAAATGGTCAGTCCGCCCCTGGTTGTCAGTTTTATTTACTTCTTTACAAAATTTCAATACCATGCAAATAAATAAAAGATAAATCTATTTTTAAAAGAAAAAAGTTTTTGTTTGTGGTATGACTCTAGGTAGCACCTAAAATGTCCCAACGTGTTCCTTCTAAACAATGTGTAGAGTCCACATTTGCAGTCTTTTTCTATGATTTATACATTAGACCCAGTAGACCAAAAAAAGTAAGATTATTGGTTTTAAGGAATGCAAATTGTGCACGACATCTAATTTGTCACTCCCCATGCCAAAATAACTATTATGTTGCAGCACATACAGTATAGTTTATTTGACATAATTCGCATTGGTAGATATTTGCATAATTTCACACTTTTTGAAGTTTACTTTTTAATTCATACATATTTGAAAAGGTTAGCTTGTTATTTATTATGTGCTAAGTGATTTCTCTATTTTATAAATTGACATAGCATTTAATGCAGGCCACATGGTTATATAATTAGGCAAACCTGGTATTGGGTTTAACAACATTACAGCACATTCTCTGATTATTTTCTTTTAAACGTTTAGGTCAACCAGCTAAACTCATCCTTTGTCAAACTTCGGAAAACGTTGCACTGCTTCCAATTATAGTCATGATTTATCAGGTCTTAGCAGTTTCATGCTGGATTAAATTGCAGAGTTACATAATTTGGATGGAATAGGAATTCAGGATCATAAATACTTAAAAATGAAGTCATTGGTGCTGGTTGGGAATGGACACTGCTCATCACAAATGTTAACTTAAACTATCAATATATCTTTACCTGTACTTCATGTTTGGCCAGCTCCGCAAAATAATCTTACACCAAGAAAGCATATGAATCTTGGAACACAGTATTATTTTTTTGTATGTGAATAGTTTTAGAGCAGATATCTCAAGAGGTCTTGATCACTCGTGAAAAATATTACCAAAGCATATTATCTTTGTTTATACTGTGTTTGCCAGGTTTAAATGTAAAATTACTTAATCCAAAGCTATCATATTGATTTTTCTATATCAATTATTTCTGTAATCAAGCTTTGCAATCTGTGAACCTCAAATGCATATTAAAGGGAAAGTACAGTATGTTTTCCATAAGTGGATATGTTGTGATATTATTGCATTCTTTGGTATAGGTTGTCCTTTGGTATTTTTACCAGCCTTAAGAAGAAGCAGTAAATCATGTTAACTATTCAGCACACCAAACCAGGAAGCAGAGTCTGTGTATATAATGAGCATCTATGGTTATCTCTATGTTCAAATATAATTACAGTTTTCTTACAGAAACACGGTTATCAAAAACATTAACACACATTGGTAAAATAAAATAATAATCTGGTCATGCAAAGAAATGTGATCAAGTGTTAATAATTATGTATTTCAGGGGATTCTTTTCTATCCCTATCTATAACTAATTTTAAAGCATATGTTACATGTTACTCCTGCCCCCCGCTCCTCCCCGTACCCCATTATGACAGCTAGAGGGGGATCTTCGCCTCTGCGCTAGCTGTCACAATTTAAAAAAAAAACATGGCCATGTGGGGCTCTGCCTGCCTGGCCTAGTCATTCATTCATGGTGTTCTGTGAATGAATGAACTACAAGTCCCAACAGCCTTTGCGGCTTTTTGCTTGTAGTTCTCAAAGAACTACCACAGTGCTGTGGAGTGCTATGGTAGTTTATTGATTCTTCCTGTCAGTATATCTGCTTGCCCATACATCCCATACGGGCAAGCAGATATACTGACAGCTTTGCAGGAAACCTGCATGGCACCAGAAATCTACTGATCACTTGTGCATTGCTTTAGGGGCTCCAGAAACAAAAAATAATAAATGCACATTTTTTTACCTGCAAAAAAATATGTATTTATTATTTTTTGTAAAAAGGTGAACTTATTTATTAAGTGCCTGAAGGAAAAGTCCATCGTAGTCTGTCACCTAAGGTTCCAGGTTATTTTTAGTCAGTCGTCATAGAGCAGTCCAGTATCATTTAAAATGTAATGCCTACAGTATCTCTGTATGTTTTATGCAATGTCTAACGAGATTCTCTGTTGCTGTCATAAAATGAACATCATGCCCTATGAGGCATAAGCACAGTTGTGCAAATAGTTTGTGCTGTGTGATAATCTTTCTTCCCGTACAGTATGCTTGACAATGACTCTATGTCTTTTTATTCATGTAATTATTTATTTTTGTATAATATATATTTTTATAAAATTTTTCACTGTAAATTTACACAAAAGTGAAAAAAAAACATAAAAACTAAAAAAAATTAAAAATGCAAAAGATAATATACATACATAGCCAAACATCCGACCTCTGTTTCATTCCATTGTGCATACGATACACAGCTTCACGTTGGATTGCAGTTATACAGTCATCATCAGTGCATTTTGCTGAAAAGATTTTTGACAGGGTAAATTAAATTAACCATATTTTGTAATCTAAATTCCTACCATAATAAAGAGGTTGGAAATAAGTATATTTGAAAGTTATATATAATATAATATATAACGACCAGTGCAGGTGGTACCTCACAGATGATCTTTTTATATTACTTAAATTTTTATCATCCTACAGTACAGGTTATGTGTGTGTGTGTGACCTGAAGAAATTGAATGAAAGAGCAAATTACATGTGGTGCCTCATCTCTTATTTTGGATTTAATACAATACACAGAATACAAAGCAAAATACAACTTCCTGACTATTTGGACTGCTTTTTCCCTCAGTCTGCTTCAACACAAACTCACTTTTTCCCTTTTGGTGATGTCTTGGTCAAATAGTCTCTCTTTAACCACTTGCTCTCCTGAGGATTTACCCCCCTTCTTGACCAGGTAATTTTTTTGCATTACAGCGCTGCGTTAGCTTAACTGACGATTGCGCAGTCATGCAATGCTGTACCCAAATAAAATTTCCGTCGTTTTTTTCACACAAATTGAGCTTTCTTTCGGTGGTATTTGATCGCCTGTGCATTTTTATTTTTTGTGCTATAAAAAAAAAGACCGACAATTTTGATAAAAAAAATATTTTGGACTTTTTGCTGTTAAACATGTCCAGTAAAAAAAAATGTAAAAATCAAATTTCGTTATAAATTTAGGCCAAAATGTATTCTGCTACATGTCTTTGCTAAAAAAAATAACTGTAAATTAAATGGTTTACGTGAAAGCTTTAGCATTTACAAATGGCGGTATAGATACTGGAATTTTTTTTTTTTAGTAATGGCGGCGATCAGCGACTTATAGTGGGACTGCGGTGGGCATTCTGACACTGGGGGGAACTGACTTTGTGTCACTGACATCCTCAGTGACATCAATACAGTGATCAATGCTAAAAAAAAAAGCACTGACACTGTACTAATGGCACTGGCAAGAAGAGGTTAACAAAAAGGGCGATCAAAGGGTTAACTG